AAAAAAAATCTGAATTGTCGCATGAATCGCTTCTAATCGGGCAAACCTGACGTCGCAGAATCATACTATATTTATTATTCCTACACGAGAAAATTCTACAGATTTTGTCTTACACATTCGTCATCGTCTTCTGTGATTCGATCATTTTAATAGATTATAGCACTGTGCCAAATCATTCTCGCCAGTTCGTTAGACATAAAATTTTATCTGAAGCTTGAACGATAGATGAACAAGCCTCGACCCTTTCTGTTATCTTCCTTATTATAGCGCTAGGAAGATAGCACTGCGAACGTTCTCACGAAAGTTGGCCAGAAGCGAGGCGAGCGTCGTGTCGCGAAAGCTCAAAGCGAAAGAGAAACGAAGAAAATTCGACGTCGATAGCCGTCGAGCTGTTGTTAGGCACGTAATGGCGGTGAACCTGCCAAGGTGCGCCCCGAGCACCCTAGCAGACCCAATCCCGGATCCTAAACGAAACGAAAAAAGAGGGTGAGATCATTTTCGTATCGGGAATCGTTTGGTGTTGCGATAGACGGCATAATTGTACAGAGAGTGGAATGAGATGCGAGTGTCCTTCGTGTGCGTGTGTAAGGGAGCAGCGAAACGAGCCTCGGAATTTTTCGGGTGGACGTACGTCGTTTCTTTCCGACAATTCTAACACTTCTAATTATTGTATCACCTATTAACAACTACGACGAGGGATGAGTCATTAGCTATGTCTAAAAGGAATTGATGTAAATAGTAGATCTCGGTAGATAGCTAAAGTGTCGTGGCCGAGGGAGTCCTGCATTCATGACGCACTGTACGCAATCGTGCGTGCCCGCGTAAGATAACTCGTCGACGATATTGCGGCGAGGAAGGATCGGAAGGCGGCGAGTTGTGTTCGAATGAAATTCGACGGATTCGATCGGCGAAAACAGCGATTGGTCGCCTCATGGATGCAATGAATCGGATGATAAACCCCTTAAGCAGACAATCCTCCGTTAGTTAGTCCTTAAATACGCGCGCGTCGTGTCTCTGCGTATGAATGAAGTACGGAAAGTATTAATTCGTAAGGAGCCGAAGTAGTCGCGCCTCTTGCTGAAACCTTTCAACCTCTTCCCACGAGCCTCCTCGTTTTTTAGGTAAAATACGAACGTAAGAAAAGCGGATACGATGCTTTTTACTAATTGTATGAATGACTAACTTAAGCGACTTTTAGCCAGATTCAATTTTGAAATTCGGTGATTCAAACGAGTGCCAATGATTAATTATTCAGAGTGTGTTAATGAACTATTCGTGTCCGCTTGTTAGAATTCTTGCGAAGACTTCTTCCTGTAGAATTTCTTGTAAACACATTGGAATCATTGTCCGTACAGTCAAAGGAAGCTGTAAAACGTGATAGGTACGTCGTTCAGTCGCTTCGAGCAGTTTTCATATTATAATATTTACGTATTTTAGATGGAGTTCAATTTACTCGAAAGAATATGAGAATATTTTGTAACGTTTACGTTTGTTCGAATAAATTTTAAGAATCATGATTAAAAGTTGTCGTTTTAGGAAAAAATTAAATAGAGTTAAACGATTGATCTTCAATAATTATAATCGTAGCATTGTACGGATCGACTTGGAAATTCATGAAGATCATAAAAATCGATTGATAACAGATTCACGTGTCTAGATATATCGTTAAAGAACAACGGAGTATTGTGTCTTCGCTGATCATTTATAAATCTGGCTTACAATCAAAAGGAATGGCAATTCCATTTTTTTTTATTCAATCAAATCATAATATAAATTATACGTTGACTATTATCAAAAATTCGTACAAAGTATATTGTGTGACTTTTGTCTATGAATGTAAATCTACTTCTACACCTAGAGGTTTTATTTTACCTTACTAGAAATCAAAACCAATGAAAATCAAACACAAGGGTAATCGTATGGGAAGAAAATGAAGAAATACAATTATTTTAGTTCATTCCTTCAAAGCTAATTCTGCGATGATCTAAACATTTGTCTGACCAGAACAAGAATCAAAACGCTTAACAATAAATACCGTGCCAAAAATTGATCGATGTGAAAAGCATCGGGTCCACCGGTGTCTTAGATAAAAAAAAAAACATTGCTGCAAAATATCCCCGATCAGCGAATCTTGCGTTACTCCGGATAAATAAGACTACCGATGGCCCATTCCCGTTCCTCTTCCACTTGTCGCTACGTACTTACTTATGCTATATTATACAGTATACTTTTTAGCGAGAGTGCAAACGGTGTGCGTCGAAAACCGAAAAATGGCGAACGTGTAGTATGCAATAATAATTCTGTATAAAGAAATCGGATTTTATATGTGTTTGTGAGCAAATGTGTGTAAGAAGAAGCACGTCATCCCTTCTATCACTCTCGATCCTCCCACTTCCCTACGACTAATAAATATTCGCGTCTTATATCTGTCTGAACGAGGATTTAAGGAGATGAAAGTTGCGCCGCGTATGATAACGCAGATTGCCCTCGAGAGTCGGAAACAGGTTGAAAGAATCAAAATTGACAATCAAATCAAAATAGAAAATGAAAGAAATCAAAGGAATCATTGAAGTAAACAATCAAAGGATATTGCAAATATCTTCTCAGCTCATTCGTTCGCGTGAAACTCTCGAGAGCATCCCCTACGCGAGGAAAGTGTAAATTCTGGAGAGTCGAATAGAATCGAATCACTTTCGCTCGCGTTCATCTAAACGACGGTTACGATTATTACGATTAACATGGCTGAAGCTCCAAATCAAAATGCACAGATGCACTAGAAACGAACTTCTCGTCCGACCAAACATTTTATAATGTTCGCGGCGCGAGAATTTTCGTTCCAATAATTTTTAAGACACGTTGTACAGCGAGAAGGATCAAAATCGACGTAAGAAAAAATCAAAGCTTTCAGTATAATTATTATAAATAGCATTGGAACTCGTGAATGTCGATCAGTGTTTTGCTTTGATCTTTTCTACTTGCATTTGGAAAATTCGCGAGAATAGTTTCTTCAGTCCTACTAGATATGAAATTCTTAGGTAATTAGTAGTTGCGAATTCGAGATTAATCCTACACACTATATTTGTACAGTAAGAATTTGTGAAAGCAGAAGGCATTTACTGAAAGGCATTATCTGATGGAAACGAAAAGCAGATAGTGCGAGGACGAAAGAGAAGGGAAATAGGACGTTTGACATATCAAAGAAACAGAATTGTTCTTGACGAGAAACCATGCAGCAATACTTTCCCGCTCAATGCGACTAATACGAGAAGAAAGAGAAACCTGTTAACGATACTTTAAAAACGTTTTAAAATGAATCCACGGCATTTACAGAGACGGTAGGCGAATCGTAACAATAAATGGAGAAGACCTCCGTCCTTTTCTTTAAAAAGAATAAATAAGAAAAAACGACAAAAATAATTTCGGAAAAGGTGAATTTCTTATGGCGTAATGATTCTAAAGTCTCTAAACGTGACGTCATTCGAGCAACATCATTCGCATACCATAAATTGAATTCAATGTCTCCGAGCGGTTTTTCATAATCGTCGAATATATCGAACACGATAATTCGAGTTACAAAACGATTCATCGTGAGAATGTAATTCTATTAATGGCCCTGTTTTCCTATGAAACGCATTTTACTTGCACCATTCTATCGTCCTTTTATACCGCATGAAATCAAAACAATTTTTCCGATACGGAATAGAAGAATGAGACAGTCGAGCTACTTTAAACTCCGACGAGGAACCTGAATCAAATGAAAGAACGAGAGAGTCCATGTTGATACGCGAATATCTTATTGTTAAATAAACGGTGTACGTGTAAACGTGTGTACATGTTAACTGATCGAATACGACGGGGGAGAAAAGAAAGAGGAAAGAGGCGCCCGGTGTTCGGAGCACGAGGTTCATTTGTAAAAAAAAAAAAAAGAGATTAGACAATTTCCCATCTGCTCCGCGGCTGCCAGAAACGACATGATACGACGAAAGAGTATAAATGTTCGCGGGTGAGCAAAAATACGTACAACAGTACAATACGTTATAGACGAGACAAAGTGTTTGTATAAATATCCATAAGTTGTGAGAAGTTTCATTTCCAAAATAGCGATACGACGAAGACAATGTAAATGTATGAAAGACCTGTCGAGACCTACCCTTTCCTTTTTCACGAGATCCCTTCCCGCCTCGGCATCCTTTTCCTCCCTCTCTACGACGAGTGTAAAGAAAAAAGGAAGATATCATGTAAAATTAACAGACATACACCTAAACACACTCACACACATTAATTATAAATATAAATATAAATATTATAAATAAATGAATAAATATAAATAAATAAATAAATGAATGAATAAATAAATATATATATATATATATATATATAAATATATGTATGTATACATGTGTGTATGCGTGTATCTATATATGTATGTATACATATCCGCACGTTATGTATGTATACACATATACGTACATTCTAACAAATGATTGATTGTGAGTCATTTAAATAATTGTTATATGTATTTTCTATATATTATAACAACTAATACAATGATATATATATTGAGATGACATTACGATACTATTAACTAAGTGTAGTTAAAAAAAAGAGAGACGAAGGAGCGAAAGATTAGGGCGATTAGGCGGTCGGAACCCGCTCGCATTATAAGAGAGAGATAGGAAACGGTTGGATCACTCTAGTCCAATATTTCTATAAATCTCACTAAGTGAAAATGAAACAAAAAAAAGTAAAAAACCGGCGGAGAAAGCGGGCCAGCGCGAAATATTTAAAAAAAAGACAAAAACTAGAAAAAAAAGAGGAAAACAATAGGAACGAGACACTCGAAACGAGTGCACCGCGTAGAGACGAAGAACCCGGCGATCTTTTCTTCGGTAAACGCGTAATCGCGGTTGTTACGGTGAGCGGGACAACGATGGTGATTTCGTTTCGAGTGTGCCCGTTGCATATTGCGAAAAAAATAACACTGAGTGAAGAAATCAATGTGGAATTTGCAACAAAAAAAATGTATTTTCTCACTCCCACTGCGAGGTGTATCGCATCGCTACATCTTATTTGGAATGAAAAACCTAAATATATTATATTATTATATAAAATCACTGTATAATTGTAACGAAAATTGTTTTTCAAACGATGTGGTATTTTTATTGTAGATATTATTATATAACAAATAAAATCATGATTCATTGTATCTGTCATGTGTTCAATTTCATCTCAGCTTCCTCTTGACGATTTTATTCGCATTTCAATAAATAATGTTCAACATTTTTCGAGCAGAACATAAAGTTAACAGTTCACGTAAGCAGGATCGTCACAGGAATCGGTGAGCGTGTTGAATATTAATCCTGGCTGGCAATAATAACCAGTTGGGATCGCGTTCTCGTACTGGCAGTAATAAAACTTCCTGCAGTTGAAGGGATCTCTGAAGTACCCTTCTTCTGCGCACTTCGGAATCAATGGAGCCGTAGGCACCGTTGGAAACGAATGATTCGCTGGCTCTTCGGGTGGTAACTGCTGCGATATCGCGTTATTCTCGATATCGTGTACTTCGACGTAATTGTCATTCAGTTTGTACCCGAACGACAAGATGCAGAAAGTGAGGAGGATTACCGAGTAAACAGTCAGATGCATCTGGGAAAATTAAATTGACGAAAGACATGAAATTATGAGATGCATTGGTATAGATCTTTTCGTAATGAAACGGTTCACTGTATAAACTTTCACTATTTATTTTTGATAATTTAAATCAAATTATTACTACTACGCTTTTGGAATTATAACAACTATACTTACTTTGAAGGAAGTCAAAGAACGAACAGATCCCAATGATTTTGCGTAGAGTTGATTAGACGCTATCAATCACGTTTCACTAACTGACGTTTGAGATGACTGACATCGTGCTTATGTACACACCAGTTACGGAAAATTAAAAAATCTGTATCACATTCACAAAGACAATACATGGAAATAGAGTTGACGATACGCAGAAATGTTTAGTATTCTTATCGCCGATATTATAGCTAATCGAACTTATTTTTCCTTGAATGTTAAGTAAGCATTAGCAATTTTTTTCCTTATTAAGAGATAATTTCGGGGAACGTAGCTTTGACCGTGATCGTCGATTCTAAGACAACGCCAAGTTCTTCGTAACTCATTAATGATTAGAACTATTTGTTACGTAAAATAATATGAAATCGCGTAATACAGATGTTCAATTTCATCTCAGCTTCCTCTTGACGATTTTATTCGCATTTCAATAAATAATGTTCAACATTTTTCGAGCAGAACATAAAGTTAACAGTTCACGTAAGCAGGATCGTCACAGGAATCGGTGAGCGTGTTGAATATTAATCCTGGCTGGCAATAATAACCAGTTGGGATCGCGTTCTCGTACTGGCAGTAATAAAACTTCCTGCAGTTGAAGGGATCTCTGAAGTACCCTTCTTCTGCGCACTTCGGAATCAATGGAGCCGTAGGCACCGTTGGAAACGAATGATTCGCTGGCTCTTCGGGTGGTAACTGCTGCGATATCGCGTTATTCTCGATATCGTGTACTTCGACGTAATTGTCATTCAGTTTGTACCCGAACGACAAGATGCAGAAAGTGAGGAGGATTACCGAGTAAACAGTCAGATGCATCTGGGAAAATTAAATTGACGAAAGACATGAAATTATGAGATGCATTGGTATAGATCTTTTCGTAATGAAACGGTTCACTGTATAAACTTTCACTATTTATTTTTGATAATTTAAATCAAATTATTACTACTACGCTTTTGGAATTATAACAACTATACTTACTTTGAAGGAAGTCAAAGAACGAACAGATCCCAATGATTTTGCGTAGAGTTGATTAGACGCTATCAATCACGTTTCACTAACTGACGTTTGAGATGACTGACATCGTGCTTATGTACACACCAGTTACGGAAAATTAAAAAATCTGTATCACATTCACAAAGACAATACATGGAAATAGAGTTGACGATACGCAGAAATGTTTAGTATTCTTATCGCCGATATTATAGCTAATCGAACTTATTTTTCCTTGAATGTTAAGTAAGCATTAGCAATTTTTTTCCTTATTAAGAGATAATTTCGGGGAACGTAGCTTTGACCGTGATCGTCGATTCTAAGACAACGCCAAGTTCTTCGTAACTCATTAATGATTAGAACTATTTGTTACGTAAAATAATATGAAATCGCGTAATACAGTTCCACGATAAAACGCAGTAAATAAGTTACATCGATTACCGATTCCTGGATGATGGGAAGATAATGGGTGAAACGATCTTATGAAATACTTTTATCTTAACATTAAATATTATATTTCATTGTTTTACAGTTTTCATTTAAATATTTCAAAAGCAAACATAATTTCTCATTTAGGATGTTCATATTTATTTCTGTGAATCACGTAAGCTTTGATACATCAGGAAACTGTGGAACGTAAAAGTATTTTCTCTCCGGTTCTATGCTCTTCGTCTTGTTCGCCTTCATGGGTAAGACGTTCATCACTCTCGTGGTCAGTTCAACAGGCCTCAATGATCCAAAGAAATCTGTGACCGGTACTTTGTCGGGATCTCTTCGGAATAAGTCTTTCCTCACTCCCACTGTTGACAAGCAATAATGCTTGGGGCATACCTTGAGCTGGAAAATATAAGTACGCGCATTAAATTAAATCAGCGATCGTTGTCTTGATTAAAAATAGTAGTGATGCTCACGAATTCTCCCAAGGTTTTGGTACTAGACGGCTCTACTTTTTCTAAGAAGTCTAGTGCATAATATGTATATCTATCTATAACGTACACACCAATAGCAGGGTCCAAGTGATGCTGGAAATGAAATAAAAATTATTAAGACACAATTAAAAAGATATGAACAAGAAAGTAGATTCGTGTTATTCACAGAAAGCGATTCCTCTCCAACCAGACTGGAAGCAACTGCTAGAATATTCGGAGAATAAAACTTCTCATACATCGAACTTGCTTGGCAAGTGTCTACAATGAACAATATTTCGTGGTATCTTCTCTTTTGCCACATTTGCTCTAGCGCGTCACCGAGTTCTAGACTAGTGATCTCCTCTGAGTCTTGAAACTTCAAGAATCCATTCCCACCGTGACCGGTGAGATAAATCAAAATGTTAGACCCTTCGTCTGTCAAAAGCTTCTTAGATCTAGGTGTCTCGGGTGCTAACCGTCCAGTCAACAATCTCACGAAATTTTCTACCGTAACTTCATAGCCTCTATAATCTACTTCAACGTCATCTCCGTAGACATTAATATGTTGCTTGATGTTATTAAAAACAGTGGCCGGTCGAGGATTCCTCGGATTGCAAGCCATGTCATCTGCTATCATTAGAATAATTTGCGAATCTGGTATACCCAAACGTTTGACGCTTCTATAAATCGACAGCACGTTCGCTACGTGCCGATAATTAAACCAAAATCGTGAAGTGTCAACCAGCACTGCCCAATTGTTCGAATGGCCGGTCTTAGCGAAATTCTCCGACATCTACAAAATGTCGAGATCTTCATACGCCCGTGATTAGAAAACGTATAAAACCGGATAAATAGAATACGCACCTCCCAAGCGTAATTCAAATGGCAAATTGATAAAGTAATTAGAATCTTTAAATACATTTTGATAAAGTTACGTATCATATTAATTTGTACAAAATCTATTATTGCTTCCTAATCGGTATGACAATTTACAACAATGAAATTTATAAAGTTAGAATAATACGCTAATCATTTTCTCTTGTTTATCCTCATTGTTAACGAACACTTAATCTTCTATCACAGTAAACTTTAATATTGTTTACAAACTGTACTACAGAACATAACCCCTAGAATGAATCCTACACTGTTAAACACGTGACGTGTGTCACTGTCTAGCTGTCTGGTACATCTGGTAGATGTCGGTGGAATGCTGACGACAGGTGCTGCAAATATGGCTATGTGATACGAACGCAATAATCGAAGGACTATTTTGGCATTCAAACGATCCAAATTTAGTGCAATCTTGAAATAGACTGTTTAAACAAGAATATCTAAATTGTATAGCATTGTTCTCAAAATTATGCCCAGAAAACGGGTATAAAGGGTTTTCGTAGTTCCCCTTTTTTCCACCAGAGATGCTAGTAGTCTGTCTTCTGCATACTCTTAAAAGTTTCGAGTGGTAGCAAAAGTTTAATTAAAATTTGAGTGAAATCTTTAATATTTTCTTTCAATCGTGCATTCTAATTGTGGTGTGATACTCCCGCAGAATTGGACGGAACATCTGTCCAGAACGGAGCATCGATCAACATCATTGTCATCTTAAAAAGGTACACATCTTTAATTCAAGAATTTTTGCATGTTACGATTCATACACGAAATTCTGTAGAATTTTTGTACATACTCTTTAATTGTTATCAAGCATCGATCTTGGCTGCTGTATGCGCTGATCGATCAATAATTTGTAATAATAAGTCTACTTGACAACATCCCATTGATTTATCTCGAACACTTTCGAACGGATGTACGTCTGTGTGTGTGTGTGACTATAAACATTATTTTAAACAAACAGTAAGAAAGGGGTTGGGGAAATGACAAGAGACAACTGGTTGATTGCCACGTTATAATAATTTATTTAAACATTTATACGCCTATGATGTTCCACAGTCTTGAAAGTAGTGCTAACCGATGTTACATGTATATACGTACAAGCGGGACGCAGCGTGTACGTACATAAATATATCGTTCTCGTAAGTACATAATGTAATATGTAAACATATATAAATTCATTTATTTATTCGTTTTATTTTATTTATAAGTTAACTCGGTTCGGTGTTACCGTCTAGATAAAGCATTCTCGAAACTTAAGAAATCAATCATTTAAACTATCCTGCTTATGAACTGTAGATAGTCTGTATATCTTTACAATGATTTCTGTCGGTTACTTCTAGGTACGTTAGGCGTGCACGGATTCTATGTATCCCTGGAAAAACGTCTCACGTTTCCTCTACCTTTCCTTCTCGCTAGCTGAGACGCACAGTTTTTTAATGATCGTCAAATTATCCGGAAGCTAACAAACACTTAAGTCCATTTACAAGGAGCTTCCTACGTAGTTCATAATCTAATTCCATCGCTGGGTCTATCTTGCGCGTTAATTGTACAAAGTCTTCACGCGAGTCGCACGATTTGGGGAATCACATTAATCCTTGAACTTTAGATACGATCGCATAAGTAGAGATATCGGAGCAAGCTCGAACGCTAAGTTCATTTCCTATCGACCTTATCTTCTATCGAAAAGAACAGCGTTTTAAGGATGTATTGGCTACACAGTCAATCCCAAAAGTTAATGTACTTTAGAAAAACGCATTTCCTATAATTGAAAAGAAATCAGACGTCGGAAGAACAATGCTAATAATAAATAGCTACAAAGTATAGAAGGAAATATTCAACTAATTATTGACGCTGGCAGAAAACTTTTTATACAGAAATTATAAGCCTTGACGTCCTCAACAAGAAAGATTCTATGAATTTTTCTTCTAAGTCGAGTATTTAACAAGTTACATATGATTATTTGGCATTTTATTGATGTTGATAAAATCCGACCATCCCAGCGTCGAAACGGCGAACTTTTGGCAAAAAATTTCGTTTTTCCTCAATAATTTCTAAACTGTTGATTGTACGAGAAAATTGCATAGGACCTTTCTTGT